TGGGCTATCGATGTCTATTTCATTGATCTTTCTTTCAGGGGATTCCTCTTGTTCTTTTAATTGGGAAAGGTTTCTCTGCTTCTTCATCTTGCTCATACCTCTCTGGCACTGTGGTTTATGGAGTATCAGTTGTCTATTTTGGATCTTAAGGATTTTATCTTTCTAATGCCTATTTAGGAATAGAACTTCGGGAAAAAAAGAAAAAAGAGAGATAGAAAGAATTTTAAAAGAAGGGAGAAAGAGGGTTTGAAAACAGTGTATAATGAATAATAGAAGAGCGAGTTGAAACAGACTATTAATCGGGTTGAGACGTCCTTTTAAAACCTTTAAAAAAATAACTGTGGAGAGATCAGTAGATGTATTTGAAACCTGTGTCTTTTCAATAACAGGACATCAAAACCCAAGAGAAATAGAAATGAATTAAGAAGTAAAAATTAAGAGAGTAATAGAAAATAGAACAGGTAAAAACAGATTTTAATAAGAAAAAACAAGTAAGGGTTGTCGGTGTTCTCCTGGAGTCTGTGCTTTTACTCTGAAATCTTTCTGTCTTCTTCCTGTTTTGGAAGCTCAGCTTGTTTTCAGCGGCCCTCCGTTGGTGCCCTCTTCTGTGCTGCTCCCAGCAACTGTCAGCAAGCAGATCGCACCTCCTCCTATCACAGGGTCAGGTGCAGCTGTCCTCTGCTTTGGTGTGGCGGGTCACTGCCCCTCGGATGCCGCAGTCAGATGTTGCAGACTGGACAGGGAGGAGGACGGGTCGTGCCCCCTCCCAGCACCTCGGTCAGGGGCTGTGTTCCGAAAGGCGGGGGGCCACTCTCCCTCTACCTGCACCGCCGGTAGCTCCGCTGATCTGTGGGGCTGCGTGCTCCGCCCTGGTAGTTGCTCTGTCCTGGTCGGTGCTCTGCAGGTGTGCTCGAGGAAGACCTAGGGACAGCCTTGTCCCTGCTCCGAGGCAAAACCCAGCTCCTTGTTTGTCTTTGTGGAGCAAGTTCTCTGAGGGACCAGGATGGAAGGATCCTATCTGCCCCAGGCTGTAGGCCAGTCTCAGTCTGGCCTTTGAGGCTGCTGAGCCCTTCGGTGCAGATGCAGGTTTCGCCCCCACCCCGCCTGGGTGCTCAGCGCTGGAGGATATGGCGGCTGTGCCTGAGCCCCGCCTCTCTTCCCCCCAAAATTTCCGCGGGTTTTCAGAGATGGGTTATGCACCCTTCCCCCGAGAGCACATCAACCTTGCTGTTTTATGGAGGGCCCAGATTTTTCTGCCCTGTGCACCCAGAGCCATGGCGTGCCGCCCCTTGTAGACCCCCGGGGCTGCCTCCTTGCAGCCGCCCCCTTCCTCCGCCCGACTTGTGCCGCCTGGCCCTGCCTGCCGCTACAGGCCTGCGTCTCAGGCTGGGTGTTGGGGGGACGCTCTGTGCCCGTTTAACTTAGTTCTGTCAGTCAAGGGCTGCTCTGTACAAATCCAAGCCTTGGAGTCTCCCCCTACATCCTGCTGCCCTCTCAGTTGGAGAGGGGACTCCCAGCGAGCCAGCACCAGTCCTCCTTTGCCGCTCCCTCCCCGCGGGACCAGTCCGGCGCTGCTTTACCTTTTGTTCTTTCTTTTTTCCTTTTCTCCTACCAGATTTTTGGCGTCTTTATCTTTTGAAGAGGGCGATGTTCTGTCAGAGTTCCGCAGGTGCTCTGGTTGGCTGAGTGGGTCTGTAGATGTGGGTCTTGGTGTATTTGTGGGAGAGGGTGACTTATGAGCGTCCTTCTACTCCGCCATCTTCTCCGTCTCCTATACATTTTATGCATAACACTTTCACCTCCTTGGTTAGATTTATTCCTAGGTATTTTATTATATTCGGCACTATTTTAAAGGGGAATGGTTTTTAGTTTCTTTTTCTATTAATTCATCATTACTGTAAAGAAATGCAACTGACTTTTTAACATTACTCTTAAATTTTGCGACCTCACCAAATTCTTCCATTAGTTCTAGGAGTTTTTAAGGTTTTCTATATATAGTATCTTGTCATCTGCATATAGTGTCACTTTTACCTCTTCTTTTCCAATTTGGATCCCTTTTGTTTCTCACTCTTGCCTGATTGCTGTGGCTAGGACTTCCAAGACGATGTTGAATAGGAATGGTGATAGTGGGCAGCATTGACTTGTCCCAGATTTTAGTGGGAATCTTTTGAGCTTTTCACCATTGAGTACTATGCTGGCTGTAGGTTTTTCATATACAGCTTTTATTATCTTGAGAGATGTTCCCTCTATATCCAATTTGGTGAGAGTTTTTATCATAAATGGATGTTGAATTTTATCAAATGCTTTCTCTGCTTCTATAGAGATGATCATGTGTTTTTTGTCCTTTCTCTTGTTGATGTGATATATTAAATGGATTAATTTGTGTATGTTGAACCACCCCTGTGTTTCTGGTACGAACCCCACTTGGTCGTGGTGTATAATCTTTTTTATGTGTTGTTGGATTCTATTTGCTATTAATTGGATAACGATTTTTGCATCTATGTTCGTCAGTTATATTGGTCTATAATTCTATTTTTTGGTGGTGTCTTTGCTTGGTTTTGGTATCAGGGTGACGATGGCTTCATTGAATGTGTTTGGGAATATTCCCTCCTTTTCAATCTTCTTGAAGAGTTTGAGAAGGACTGGTATGACTTCTTTGTATGTTTTGTAGAATTCCCCAGGGAAGTCGTCCAGTCCAGGACTTTTAATTGAAGGGAGACTTTTTATTGCTAATTCAATTTCATTTCTACTGTTTGGTTTTTTCAGGTGATCAGTTTCTTCTTGACTCAGTCTTGGTGAACTCCTAAGTTTCCAGAAATATATCCGTCTTCTCTAGGTTATCCATTTTGGTTTCATATAGTTTTGCATAGTATTCTCAGATGATACTCTGTATTTCTATGTTATTTGTTGTAGTTTCTCCATTTTCTGTTGTTTCTTTGCTTATTTGTTCTCTTTTTTCTTCTTTGTGAGTATTGTCAGAGGTTTGTCAATTTTATTTACTTTTTCAAAAAAATCAGCTTTTTGTTTGATTGTTGTTTTATGGTTTTTGAAATCTCTGTTTTAATTAATTCCACCTTAATCTTTATTATTTACTTCCTTCTGCTGACTATAGGGTTTTATTGCCATTCTTTCACTAATTCTTCTAGCTGTTGGGTTAGATTGTTTATTTGAGACTGTTCTTCTTTTTTGAGAAAGGCCTTTATTGCTGTAAACTTCCCTTTGAGCACTGCCTAAGCTGTGTTCCACTAATTTTGTGTGATTGTGCTTTCATTTTCTTTTGTCTCAAGGTATTTTTTAATTTCAGCTTTGATTTCCTCATTGACCCATGGTTTTTTAATAGCATATTGTTTGATCTCCATGCTTTCCTTTTGTTCTCCTTTGTTTCTCTGTTGTTGATTTCTATTTTCATGTCACTGTGGTTAGTAGAGATGCTTGAGGTAATTTCTATCATCTTAAAATTGTTGAGGCTACTTTTGTGCCCAGATGCATGATCAATCCTAGAAAGTGTTCCATGTACACTTGAAAAGAATTTATATCCAATATTTGGGTGGTTAATACTCTGAAAATATCCACCAAATCTAATTTTTCTATTGTATAATTTAATTTCTCTTTTGCCTTATTTATTTTCTGTCTGCAAGATCTGTCTAGTGATGTTAATGTGGTGTTAACATCTCCAACAGTGATTGTATTCCCCTCAATTTCCCCCTTTATCTCTTGTTAGTAGATGTCTTATGTACTTAGGTGCTCCCATATTAGGCTCATATAGTTTAACTAGTGTATCCTCATCTTGTATTAATCCTTTAATCATTATAAAATGTCCTTTTTTATCTTTCTTTATGGCGTTTGTTTTAAAGTCTATTTTCTCTGAAATTAGTATTGCTACACATGCTTTTTTGGCTTTTCCGTTTGATGGAATATCCTTTTATATCCTTTCGCTCTAAATCTATATGTGTCCTTCTCCCTAAAGTGGGTCTCTTGTATGCAGCATACTGAAGATTCTTGCTTTATTATCCAGTCTGCCACTCTTTATCTTTTGATTGGAATATTTAGACCATTATCATTACAGTAATTAATGATAAATGTGTGTTTATTGCCATTTTCAACTTAGTTTTGCAGTTGATTTGGTATTTCGCGTTTGTTCCTTTCTTCTTTGTTTTATGGTTTGGTAATTTTTATTTGTATTATCTTGGATTTTATTTAGTTTTTGTGACTCACATGTAAGTTTTTGGCTCATGGTTACCATTCTTTGTAAGTCTGGTAACCCATTACTATAAATGTTTTTTATGAAACAGACAGTAATATAGTCTCAAACCCATCCAACCAAGAAGAAAAATTTTAAAAAGAAAGAAAAAATCTCTACATTTTCTTGCTTCCCTCTCCCAGTCTTAATGACTTAGATATCTTCTTCTACAATTTCATATTTATTCTATTAAGAATTCATGGTAGCTATCATTTTCCCAATTGTGATGTAATCATTTCTGTATCATCCTGCTTCTTTTCTATTTACCATAGATCATTCAATATTTCTTTTAGCATGGCTTTTGTGTTGCTAAACTCTTCCTGTTTTTCCTTGTCTGTGGATATCTTTATCTTTCCTTCTCTTGTAAAGGATAACCTTGCTGGAATAATTATCCTAGGTTGCATCTTTTATTCATTCAGGAGTTTGAATATATCTTGATACTCCCTTCTGGGGTGAATTGTTTTGTGTAGAGAAATCAGCTGAGAGCCTTATGGGAATTCCCTTGTAACTCACTCTTTGTTTTTCTCTTGATGCTTTTAGGATCATTTCTTTATTCTTAAAGCTGTCCATCTTGAATATATTATGCCTTGGTGTGGGTCTGTTTGGGTTCTTCCTGTTTGGGACCCTCTGAACTTCCTGTACTTGGATATCTGATTCCTTCTTTAGTTATGGGGAGTATTCAGTCATGATTTCTTCAAACACCTTTTCTATCCCCTTTGTTACTTCCTCCCCTTCTGGAACCCCTATTATATGTGAATTGGCATGCTTTATATTATCCCATGTTTTCCTTTATATTCTTTTCATTGGTTCCTATTTGTTTTTCTCTCAGCTGTTCTGATTGGGTGCTTTCTGTTGTCCTGTCTTCTAGGTCACTAATTTGTTCTTCTGCATCACCTAGTCTGCTTAATACAGCCTTTAAATCAGCTCTCATCTCAACCAATATGCTTCCCAATTGTACTTGGCTCTTCTTTATAGCTTCAATTTCATTTTTGAAATATTTTATATTTCTAAACAATATCTGTTTTAGCTACTTCTGTAATTTGATCACTGCTTTTTTGAAATATTGTCCAGTAGGCCATGAATGTCTATTTCATTGATCATTCTTTCAGGATATTTCTCTTCCAAAGCATCTGAGGATATGGCGGCTCTGTCTGAGCCACAGCTCTCTTCCAGAATACCTTTAGCGGGTTTTCAGAGATGGGGGTATGGCACCCTTGCACCCAGAACACATCAGCCATGTTGATTTATGAAGAGCCAAGGTTGGTTTGCCCTGTGTACCCACTCATCCACTGCACGCAGTAACCTGCAGTCCCCTAGGGGTGCCTCACTGCATCTGCCCCAATCCTACACTTGGCTCAGGCAGCCTTTCCTGTCCCCCGCCTTTTGCTTTGCCTCTAGGGCTGCGAGGTGAAGAGACCCTCTGTGCCCATTTAGATTAGTTCTGTCAGTCAAGGAGTACTCCATACAGATCTCAGCCTCAGAGTTTCCCCCTCAGTCCCGCTGACCTTTCCGTTGAAGAGGGGGAGACACAGCAAACAAGCACTATTCCTTGTTTGCTGTTCCCTCCCCGAGGTACTGGTCCTGCACTTTTTTGCTTTTTCTTCTTTCTTTTTTCCTTTTCTCCTACCAGATTCTTGTCCTCTTTGCCCTTTGAGGAGGGTGATGTTCTGTCCGAGTTCAGCAGGTGCTCTGGTTGGCTGAGCGGGTCCATGGCTGTGAGTCTTGGTGTATTTGTGGGAGAGGGTGAGCTATGAACATACTTCTACTCCACCGTCTTGATCCCTCCTATATGTCTTCTTTATCTATTCATCTTTTGGTAGGTGGATGGGTGGCTTCCATATCTTGGCTATTGTAAAATGTGCCACAATTTGTATAAGAGTACATATATCTTTTCTAATTAGTGTTTTCATTTTCTTCCAATACCTAGAAGTGTAATTGCTGGAGTGTATAGTACTTCCATCTTTAATTTTTTGAAATATCTCCATATTGTTTTCCACAGTGACTGTGCCAATTCATATTCCCACTAGTGCACAAGGATTTTCTATTCTCCACATCCTTGCCAACACTTGTTATTTGTTATCATTTTGATAATAGCTGTTCTGAAAAGTGTGAAGTGATATCTCATTTTGGTGTTGATTTGCATTTCCCTGGTAATTAGTGATGTTGACCAACTTTTCATATGCCTGTTGCCGATCTGTCTTCCTGGGAAAAATGTCCATTCAGTTTCTTTGCTCATTTTTTAATCAGGTTGTTTGTTTGTTTATGTTTCATGTTGAATTGTAGAAGTTCCTTATATATTTTGGATATAAATCCCATATTAGATGTATCAACAGCAAATATCGTCTCCCATTCAGTAGGTGGCTTTTCCATTTTTTAAAGTTTCCTTCCCAGTATGAAAGTTTTTAAGTTAAATATAGTCCCATTTGTTTATTTTTGCTTTTGTTTCCCTGGTCTGAGGAAACATCTTCAAAAATATTACAACATGCACAATTCTAAGCTCAAAATGGATTAAAAACTTAAACATAAGAAAAGATGCAATAAACCCCCTAGAAGGAAACATAGGTAAAACTCTACCTCACATACATCTCAGCAATGTTCTCCTAAGGCTGTCTACCCAAGAAATAGAAATAAAAGCAAAAATAAGCAAATGGGACCTAATTAAACTTACAAGCTTCTGCAAAACAAATGAAACCTTAAGCAAAATAAAATGACAACATACAGAATGGGAGAAACTATTTGCAAAAGATGAAACTGACAAGGGCTTGATTTCCAGAATATATAAACAGCTCATACGACTTAATTAGAAAAATGCAAACAATCCAATCCAAAAATGGACAGAAGACCTAAGCAAGCAATTCTCCAATGAAGACATACAAATGAGCAATAGGCACATAAAAATGCTAAATATTACTAATTATCAGAGAAATGAAAATCACAAGTATAGTGAGGTATCACCTCACACCAGTCAGAATGGCCATCATTCAAAAATCCACAAAGGGTAAATGCTGTAGAGGGTATGGAGGAAAGGGAACCTTCCTGCATTGTTGGTGGGAATGAAGTTTGGTGCAGCTATTGTGAAAAATACTATGGAGATTCCTCAAAAGACTAAAAACAGACTTACAATATGACCCAGCAGTCTCACTGCTGGGCATATATCCAGAGGGAACCCTAATTCAAGAAGACACCTGCACTCCAGTGTTCATAGCAGCACTTTTTACAATAGCTGAGACGTGGAAACAACCTAAGTGTCCATCGACAGGTGACTAGATAAGGAAGTAGTGGTATATTTATACAATGGAATACTACTCAGCTGTACAAATAATGATAAAATAACACCATTTTCAGCAACATGGATGTCCCTGGAGAATGTCATTCTAACTGAAGTAAGCCACAAAGAGAAAGAAAAATGCCATATGACATCACTCATAACTGGGATATAAAAAAAGACAAATGAACTTATATGTAAAACAGAAATAGACTCAGAGACATAGAATACAGGCTTGTGGTTGCCAGAGGGGAGGGGCATGGGAAGGGATAAACTGGGGTTTTGAGATTTGCAGATACTGAATGGTATGTGTAAAATTGATAAACAAGTTTATACTGGGGAAATATACTCAATATATTCATACCTTTCAGTAGCTTATGGTGGAAAAGTATGAGAAAATGAATATATGTATATTGATGTATGACTGAAGAATTGTGCTGTAAACCAGAAATTGTCACAACATTGTAAACTGACTATATCTCTGTTAAAAAATATATATTACAACAAATGATTTAAAAAGACATAATACCTGTTTCCTTCTAGAAATTTTATGGCTCTGGTTCTTAAATATAAGTGTCTAACCCATTATGAATTTATTTTTGTGCATGGTATGAGAGAGTAGTTTAGTTTGAATTTTCTGCATGTTGCTGTCCCGTTTTCTTGACTGCATTTATTGACGAGGCTATCCTTTTCCATTTGTACATTCCTGTCTCCTTTTTTGTAAATTATTTGTCTATATAGGTGTGGTGTGTTGTGGGCCTCTTGTAGTTGATCCTCTATGGAACTCTTTGTGTGTTTTCAAGTATGTTTATCCATAACTATATCTCCTTGCTGTAGACTGATAGTTCTATAATTACAGACACAATCCAAATGATTCATTTTTTTACTACTCTTTTTTATATTTTGTGATTTTGATGTCCTGTTTTACATATTTAAATTTATTTTTGCTGCTAATTGGAGTTATAATTGTCCCTTCAAAAATTATTTATTTTTAATCTATGTACTTGCTTATTTAAATAATATTAAATCATTTTACATATTAATCTTTCCTATTTTTTTCTCTTTCCTAAACATTCTTACTTCTTTTTCATTTAGAGAAGGCCTTTCAGAATTTCTTTTAGGTTAGATTTAGTATTGATGTATTCTTTAAGTTTTTGCTTGTTTGAGAAATTTTTTACCTCTCTTTCTTTACTAAATGATAAACTTGCTCTGTATAGCATCCTAGGTTGCAGCGTTTTCCCTTTTAAAGTTTTGACTATATCATGCCACTTTCTTCTGGTCAAGAAAGTTTTCATAGAAACATCAGCTTATTGCCTTATGGAGGTTCCTTTGTAACTGACCCTTTGTTTTTCTCTTGCTTCCTTTAGAATCTTCTATTTACTTTTAACTTTTGCCATTTTACATATGATATGTCTTCATGTGGGGCTATTTGGGTTCATCTTCTTTGGGACCCTCTGTGCTGTCTGT